ACTGAAAAAGATGACTTTCGGAAACCGCCTAAAAAGTGTAAACGTTTCATTCGTTAAAATATGTAATGTTTAAAAAATATATGGAAAAGCAATCCCACGCAGTTTTTGGTAAATAATGCATACCTATCACGAAAACTTTGCCTTTTATTTCTTCATTAAAAAATTATTAAAAATCAAAAATAAGGAATTTTTTGCTCTTACTAAGTAATAAAAGTTCAATTTTTAAAATTGATGGAAAGTCATATTTCACAGTGAGAGGGGATGTGCTACACTGTGAAATTACACAAAAGTGCTAAAAATCAACAATAGATCCTAGCTGCTTGAAACCCTGCATTTTACTATACTAAAATTACAAAACTGCATACTCGAAATCTTTCTAAGAAATCAAATTGAAAAGCTTTAAGTTTATATTAAAGTTTGCTGACGGTACTCTTAAATTTTTGTATGAGAATTGATGTCGATGGTCCTTTTTTGCTTAAAAATTACTTGTTTTAATATTGCATAATATTTAAAAATAGGATTTATACGGTTTTTGTTAGAGGAAAAACCATATTTTTATAAAAAGTAGTGAAAACAAAATAACAAAAAAATACAACTTGCTCTTTTTATACATAACTTTATTCGCATAGCGGTTGTTTGTAAAAGACTAAAGGAAACGAGATAGATATATAAAAAATAAAATGAAAAGAAAAGTCGACTAAGCTATAACTCCAGCAAAAACTGAGATATCGCAATGAGATGATTTGAGACATAGGTTACCCTTTATCCAAGGTAGGTTGGTATTGAAAATGTGCGAAATCGGACTGTAACCACGCCCACGTCCCATATAACGGTATTTGCGAAAAATGCAAAAACTGCTATATTTCAGTAAATATTACTTCTAAATTGCTGAAAATTAGTATGTGAACTAAAATTTGGGTACAAAAATGGGCGTGGCCCCGCCCACTTATGATGAAATGCTGTATCTCGGTAGCTCCTTGACCAATCCAGTACGGGCCTCTTTTAGGATGAAAATCTTTGAAATCGGGCAATAATTATGCCCACCTCCCATATAACAGCAATTTACAGAAAACTGCGATAAGTCAATAACTACTGAAAACTCAAAATCGGTGTCTGCAATAATCATTTAGCAGGAAATTAAATTATTTTAAATTTTTTGATAGTGGGCGTGGCCTTCTTATGACCAGTATTGTTGTTGTGCGACTAAAGCGGCAATTTGACCCGTTTTAAGCGCCAATACCCTTTGACCTTACTTTTTGAAAATTTTGATTTTTGACCCTTTTGCAAAATTATGTGCAACTATTGCCATCAGAGATTTTTGCTCCGAAATGTTAACAGAACCATGCTATTAAAAAATATTTCCTCCTAAAAGTACTAAAAAATGCATCACTTAAAACGTTTAAAGGAAATGCAACCCTTCTCCCAGCAGCAACTAGATTTATGTGTATGTTTGCAACCCTGTTTAATGCAACGCTTGTCCCGCTATTTCCTTTTTAAATTCAACAGATTTACCGCCCAAATCATAATACTCCCGGGGAGTTTGTTCTCCGGGAATTGGTTTCTCCTCAGAAAGAAGTCCTCCAATAGAAGGAAATTCAAACTTCGAAAATGCTGTTTGACACTTTTTTTAAAAGAGCTCAACTCTGCAATTAAAATATAAAAAATGCGCAGGAAATTTTTATTCATGATAGGAGGAAAGGGAAAAGAGTGAAAACTCTCTGAGGGTTTCTGTTCAGAATCAACCTGTTATTCTTTTGCTAGTAAAGAAAAGCAATAATAATATGGTGACCCTTTTTTTCGTCAATGACCCCTTTTTTGCGACTTTCTGAAAATTATCAACGGCCACAACTGTGTACCTCGGTAACCGATTTATCAATTTCTACCAAACTCGGTGCATGTAATAACCTTAGTACGGAAAAACAATTTGTTGAAAATTATTCAAATCGGACTAAAATTACATCCGCTTCCCGTATAACGGTAAATTTCAGAAATACGAAAACTCCGATATTTCAATAACGGGGGATGCTAATTTACTCCAAGTTAATGGCTACAACAATCTCTTAAGAATAAAATGACTGCTATAGACTTTTAGGTAGAGGGCGTGGCACCGATCACTTTATAACTACAAAGGTACTATATCTCGATAACCGCTTCTAACAAACCAGGTTCAATTATTTCGTTAAGTCTAACTTAGCATATTATCGAAAACGTTTGAAATCGGAATCGTGAAATCGTCGTTTTAATTCTACGTTGTTAATTGATTTTTGCACAAAAATTTGCTAATTTTGCCACTTTGCATACTGGTGGCTTAGCAGTTTTTCTACATACATACATACATACATACATACATACACACGTACATGATTTGTTATTTTTATCGCTCTTTTCTTTTCAGTTGATTGCGAATTTCGTAAGCCGATTCTAACTTGGCTGCTCAAACAAGCTTTGCTTAAGTGCAATTTTAAACACTTCAGTTGACGCGCGCTATAATTCTGCTACTCATCGCCTTTAATTTGTTTCGTTAAGTATTTCTAAAATCACCAAAGTGTGATTGTTGCTTTCAAATTCTTGTCAACACGCTTAGCGAGCGGCTTAAAGATGATATGTAGGTGCTACTTACTTACTTAAGTGGTTGTGAAAGCGTTGATAAATACTCGCATTCTCTTAATTATTTTTGTAGCTTCTTTCACTGTAACTTTCTTTGTTGCTGTAGCAGGCACGCTGCTTAACTTAAGTAAATGCGTTGTCACTGTGATGTTGATGCTACTTACTTAGTTGCAAATTTTCGAAATTTCTTTCTATATACTTACATACATACATACATATGTATGTATGCTTTCTTTAACATTCTCCTTGCTTTGTTTATTTATTTAACATTATTTTGTCCCTTCGCTTCACTTCTTCCGGTTGTGGGTTATCTTAATAACGTTCAGCATCAATGCGGTGTATAACCGCAAAACTTTCAATTTCTCCTTAAGCTAATATTTGCACCTACATATGTACATACGTATGTATGTATATGTAGATACGAAATGGTTGTGCGTTTAGTACTTGCTTTTGTAGTTACTTAAGATTGGTGTTAACTACTTATTGAGGGCGTTGCTATGGCTGCATTTGGATACGAGTATGTAAGTAGCTGCCAGGGCTTAATGTGACATACATACATACATACTGCAGAAATAACCGAGTAGTAACAAATATTTATATTAGACCGTACCACCTTACAGGCAAACAAAAAAGTTCTTAAAGCGTAAAGTATATTTGCATGGTAATTAAAAAAAATAATATAAAAATTGTTCGCCGAACCTAGTGGGCTCTTTTTATATTTTTTGATGACATCTGCATTCGGCAATATTTTTTTTAATAGTTCCACTGGAAAAATCAAAATACGTATTAAGCTTAAATGATTTTTGGCGGCCTTTAATTTACTGACGTTAGGGTTACACGTTAGGGTGATAAGAACTGGGATCTGGAGAATAAGTACTAGAACTAGTACCTGAGATCTATGAATACTGGAACAAAAAAATTGTCTCCTGCTTTTTCTCGTTAAAGTTTGAATTTTTAAGTTTTTCATAAACAGAAATAAAAAATCTTTAATGATTAATTAATTTCTCAGAAACTGTCAAGCCTATCGAAAAGTGATGTATACACGGTTTATGGAGGATATCGTTAGGTTCTTTTGCCATACTTGATATTAAGATCCTGCAATATCTTCATAAGATATACATGATTACGGGGAATCACTCTTTTAGGGTGAATTGAAAATATCTCGGAAATTTATCCGTAGAAAAAAAAATTTACTTGATTTTCGAATCAGCCGGAAATTCTACATACGAATTAGATAGGGGCATCTGTGGAACATAAAAAAACACAAATTTGTGATCCAGTGTATTTTTTGGCGGGCTTTAATTTACTGACATCAGGGTGGTAATATTTGAGCAGGGTGGTGAGGTGAGGTGAGTTAAGGTCAGGTGAGGTCAGGTGAATTGGGATAAGACGAGGTGAGGTGAGTTGAGGTGAATTGCGGATAGTTAAGGTAAGTTTATATGAGGTGAATTGAGATGAATTGAGGTGAGTTAAGCTGACTTTAGGTGAGTTGAGTTATGGTGAGGTGAGTTGAATTGAGGTGCATTGAGGTGAGCTGAGGTGAAGTAGGGTGTGGTGACGTGAGTTTAGTTGAGGTTAGGTGAGTTGAGTTGAGTGGAGGTAAGTTGAGCTGAGGTGAGGTGAAGTAAATTGGGATGAGGTTGGTTGAGGAGAAAGGAAAGAACTTATGTTTTTGTTAAAAAAAAAAAGGTCAAAATCGGTGAAGCAGTTTTCGAGCATTGTTGTAAATAAAAAAATAATCTAATTATTCTAAAAATGTTTGGACTTTAAATGCCAATGTTGCTAAAGTTCTTTGAAGTCTCCAAATTTACACCAAAATAAGCCTGTATTTACCAATGTGGCTGCGGCAGATAACGAACAGATCACTTACAAAAATGAATCTGTCGGTAAACTTGGCATTTTATTTTTTAAATTGCTTTGTTATTTCACGCTGAGTATGCATTGTTACAAAATTTTAAAAATTACAACTGAGCATGGCATTCACACCTAAACTAAAGACGTATTCTACGTAAAAAACGTTCGAACACACATTCGCCATGCAAAGATACTTTAGACTCAGGGCTGAGCGGCGAACTTTTTTCCGGAACGTCCTAATGTATAGTATATACATAAATAAGTAATTATTTTTTTATTATAATTTATTTATTTTATTCAAGATATGCATTATTTTTGGTGAGAGAAGAGTCTTAAAAGGTTTTATTTTATTATTTTATTTTTTTGTTCCTTTTACGCTTATCTTACTTTATTCAGACTATTTATCTACATTCTAACTTACATAGATACATATAGAAATAGTAATAAATGCCACCCTTTTCATCTTTTATTACCAATAAATTATTACTAAAAAAGAATAACATAAACTAATAAACACACTTCTTCCTACTTTTTTCCAGACAAAATGTTCGATATTTCGTGGGCTTGTGCTGTGCATCTGCTTGAATGTCACCTACGCTAATATAGTCCGTTTTCCCAGAGAATTGGATAGATACGGCTCGTCGTATTTAATACCATATATAACGCTATTATTTCTAGTCGGTTTGCCCATCATTCTATTGGAGATATCGGTTGGACAATTTTTGGGTCAAAGTGCAGCGCATACATGGACAGCATCGCCCATCTTTAAAGGTAAGTGTAAGAAAATTAATAAAACGTAGACCCATAATAAAATTCAAGTAAAATTTAAAACGCATTACAATAAAAACTGACTGAACCATAAAAACACAAAACTATTTGAATAGCTTTTGAATAATTCCATGTACATAAATAAAATGTTACATTTTAATCGAAAAGAGATGTGTGTCGTATGCCACACATTTGTTTATGCCAAAAGAAAAACAAGTCTATTATTTTTGCAAATGTGCAGAGTTGCTTGCATTTGTATGTAACTATTCGCATACATATTTCATTGGAAATTATGAACATATTTACTGGCAATTTTATATTAAAAGTCGAAATTATTTCCTGTATTTACAGGCCGATTCTGTACACTTTATAAATTGAAAAGCTTTATAGTTTGTCAATTTTTTATTATTTATCAAGAATTGGTATTCCATAACAGAAATCAAAAGCTCTTTTCTTGATAAATTATCAAGATTGAAAATGCTATTAACAAATTGAAATTTCGTGCGAAATGTATACATTTTTTATAAATAAATTTGTTTCTAACAAAACAATTAAATACTCCATGTGCCGGCATTTGAACCTGCTACACACGGAGTTATATTCGACATCTCTACCTACTCGGCTACAGCAGTCAAAAAATTTTTTGCTTTTAAATTCATATTCTTCATATGTGACAATGAAATCAGTTCCACTCATGTGAAAATCAGTTCCACTAATGTGGAAATCGTAGAGCTTTTTGTTTTATAAATATTGACACAGAATGCGAAGGAAGCTTTTACTTGATAAAAATCTTGTTAAAATTTCTTTACAAAAAATTTATCAAGAAAACTCAGAATTGGGCGGTTAATGTTTGTTTATTTTTAATTTGATTAAATTTTTTAGTTTTTGGAAAAAAATGAAACAGATCTGGCAGCAAAATTTTCTTATTTGGTTGTATAATTTCAACATTAGCCTAAAAGTAGGCAACGAACTTCTATAGCTGTCTATAAAGTAGCGAATGGCATTGCTGAGAGCAAGCGTATCCGCTTTGCTTGCGTTTGTTGATCTTCCGGTTGAAGTACAAACAAACACATTCACACACACTTTCATGTAGACATGCCGAGTGGGAAAAGTAGTAATGCATTACATGCGTGATAGGGAATGTAATGTATTTCTTATGAGGTCTAGATTCTATTACTGTTTAAAATGTAATCAGCATGCTAATGTATCCAAAAACGTTTGTGGGCCCGGTAGATGAGTTTTTGTTTTAACCCCATCAAGACTGAAAAATCGACATACCTTGAGAAAATAAATAAATTGTTTATTCATTTTAAAAAGAAATGTCATTTACATTTTTATATTTTTATTTTAGTAAAAAAGCTCGATATCAAAATGTGCCCACTATCACTAGAGAGCTTGGAAAATTGTCATGCCTTAAAAAACGGGCGGGGGTCAATTTTGACTAAACTTTTTTAAAATTAATTTTAAGAACAAAAAACTTATGATTTTGAATCAAACACTGTTTAAGTTATACTACACTGGTTAGCTGGCTTTGGACTATTCCTGTCAATAATTGCCTTCCTTTTGTTTGGGACTTAATGTGTTCAGCATTAATCCGGAGAACGCTGTTATAGGTTCGACTGCTTTTTCCTTTACGTATTCGAGATACGCTTTGAAGGCTAGCCTTTTGTCAATTATGATGCCGAGATGTTTAGGGGAGATGTTGTAGGCGACGTGCTTAAATATTATCTCCTCTTACTTTAAGTGCCGTCTCTGTTTTGTTACCTAGGTTTGGACTGCCGTCACTGATTTATTGACTTTACTCGAAGTACACCATCGTACATCATATTCCACTATTTCACAACAAAGCTCATAGTACCTTTCGTACATACCCGTTTATTCAAGTAACTGCGGATTAGACTGTGCAAGTACTCAGATACTCTACTTTGCCTTAGGATATCAAGAATTTTCGCCTAGTTTGCGTTGTCGAATTCATTTTTTAATGTCTAGTGTTAGGATTAGGCAATATTCCTTGTCAGCTCTTAGCCATAGGAATCCGCTTATGATCATATTTGCTAACTGTGTTGCTGTAGATACGGCTTCGACCGTACATCTATCTGCCCCATCTAATGCCTAAACTGTAAGTCTGAAATCCCAACGGCAGAGTCCCGTAGACATATAGGTCTGCATCTTGGGTGATAGTAGTACCAAATTTTGCTGCTTCCATTGTGCCCAGAATCCCCTTTACAGGATTTTTTTCGCCGTAACAGATTCGTATATATTTCGTTTATGTATGCTGATGGCGGATACGGCAGTTCCTTGTTTCGAAAATAGCATTTCCACTAACCTTCGATGAAACGGATTCTTCTAGCTTCTAGTTTCTTGAAAACAATTTTGTATGCAAAACCTCAGGGCTTATTTTCTGTATCGTGGCAAAGTTAAAAAAATAATAATTTTTTACTTTCTTTGATGGCCTTTTTTAATGCATTACGGGTCCTTCGATAGAACGTTCGATCAGACATTCTATAAAGTTGTCCCTCCTTCGCGAACGCTGGTACCTACTAGCTCTTCTCTTTTAGGTAGTTTTTGCTTATTACCTCTTTTTGTTCATTCCACCCAAAACCGTTGTTGTGGTTTTGTTGGCAGGATTTTCGAGACATTAATGCATCACAGGAGGTCCTTATAGCCTCCGTTATACGTTTCGCCGTGATGCCTGCAGTGCCATGGTATTTCGTTTTGGGCAGCATTTACACTTCGTCGAGTGAATATACCTTTCATACTTTTCAGCCTAGAGTTGCTGTGTATGTAGGTGCACATACGTTTTGTGATTTTAGAAAATGGAAAATAAGCAGACCTATTTAAAATCGGTTAATATTTTAACATGATGCCGAGGCGGTGAATTGTTATAAAACGTTTAAAAATAAATATTTTTTAGTCGAATGAAAATATTTAAATTTTTTGAAAAATTTGTATTTAGTTTAAGGCCGCTAAATTTTTCTGTAATATAATACAATAATAAAAAAAAAAAAAATCAATAATAACCGTCCCATGACCAAAAAAAAATTTCAAATATAAATTATTAGGTTATAAAATAGCGCGCGGAGGCACGGTTAAATAACAGTCGATTTCAAAATAAAAATACGGGTTGCCTTAGTTTTGATATTCTTTAGTTCTTGTAGGCGGCTGGAAAAAAATATTTTGCACCAGTCAAAATGTAGTCTATATTCATAAATGGGCAATTCCAATTTGAAATCGGATTTTTAACCATTCAGCTGTTTTCTTTGAAATTAAGAAATATTAAAATTTTATAAATCTTTATGTTAAGAAATTTGTGTTTTTTATGAAAGAAACATAGAAATTTAAGTAGTTCGTTAATTAAACACTTTTGAGTAATTTTTAAAATTTTTAAATACCTCTTTGAAAAAGGCATCCAACACATTTTATTATGGCTTTCATGTTAAATGCATATGAACGTGCGTACATACTCCGGCACAAGTGCCTCGCATCCTTTGTAGGTATACCCACTTCAGCGGCGAACGCAACAGCAATTCGGCTCGGCAACCAGCATTCATTCGTTTAACTTGCACAACGAACACACAGCCCCACTCGTCTGTGCGCCGACACTACAAACACTATCAACACTGCAGTGCGCATGCAACAAGTGAAGAGGAGGTGGAGGAAAATTGCAAGCCAGGATACAGCATGCAAGGACCAACATGCCAACTTACACTCAGTCCCCATCTGACCACCCATTGCCGCCCAATTTTCCCTACCTGGCCGCCAATGAAGTAAAATTTTTGCATTCTCAATTTTCATTGCTGCTGCAACAGCCGTTTGCAATTCGCAGAAGTATTTTCGTCACCGCATAGAATAAGTAGAACTTCAATTCGCGTTGCATTGGGGCGGTCTGGTGTTCCGCAGTACATATCGGTTGGACACAACCCGTTTCAAAATTGTGCCACCTAACTAACATACAACTGAAGTAACTAAAACAAACTGAATACTGAAGAAAACTGGCAAACGATATTGAAATGAATTTATAACATACATACAAATGCAAACTTTCGTCAACTAAAATGGAAAATGATTTACAGTTCAAAATGACACACACACAAGCAGGCAAAAAAACAAAAACAAAAATTGAATCTGACTTAAGGCAAAATCTCTGCCACAAAAGGGCAAACGCTAAAATGAACAAAGTCTAATTTGCGAAAAAACTAAAACTAGTAAAATCAGATTTAATCAGATGCAAAATGTTAAAAAAAAAATATGTACATCAGCAAGAAGCCAACTATGCAAAAATGGAAAATCCACTTCAAAAACTACCAGGAAAAATCGCATCCGTGTGTCCCGTTTGTGTAAAAACGAAAGTCCATAAACGCCGTCGCAGTTGGTGCAGCAGCAACACAAACACACCCGCACACTATATCAGCCGGTGCCCAAAGCTGGCGCAGTTGTGGGTGATGAGCGGTGGTGTGTACGCCTTGCAGTTGTTGCGCGGAGCTGTAGAGAAGACGCGAGAGTACAAAAGCGCCAACGCGTTGGCGAAATGTGGATCTGCAAAAATTGAAACCAATAGATGTTTGAGATTAAATTCTAGCAAAATGAAAAATGAAAAATACAAACACCAACTAAAATGGCAAGATGAAAAAAACTACTACTAACAAAAAAAACATACATGAAAAAAAGCTGCGCAACAAATGGAAGCAAATAAAAAAAATTACAAGGCAAACTGCCGGAGCACAGACTGGTGATCGCCCTTTTTTTCAGAAAATATTTGAACGAAATTCCAATTGGATGTAGTTTAATGATTTGTATCTTAAATCATGTAATATATATAGGTAATTTTCGGCAAAGACACGTGCCAAACCCAAGATGAACTAACGGTAATATTAGGCGTGATATATCATTTCGATCGAAAGCCATTGGTATGGTCCAGCAAGTCGGAAACTGGGTGCCTCAAGCGCTCAAATCGAGAGATATCAAACGGCGTGTCCCTATTTCCCAACTGCTCTTTCAACGGTACAAAGCGAAGTCGTTTTTCTCTTGTATTGTCAACGGCGATGTAAAATGGATTCATTACCGAAATCCAAAGCGCCACAAGGCATATGTTAAGCACTGCAAACCCGGACCATCGAAGCCGAAGCCAAATATCTATGGCAGCGAGGTAATGCACTGCATTTGATGGGACCAGAAGAGAATCATCATGTATCATAGCATCTGAAAAGTGGTCAAACAGACGAGCAATTGCAAAAAAAACGCCGGAATGGCCAACGAGACATGAGTTATTCGTCTTCCACCATGACAATGCTCGCCGGCAGGTCGCACAAGTAGTGAACACTTACCTCGATTGCTCTCATAGGGGAGTAGGCTACTCTCCAAAGATGAGCAGTTTATTGGCACGAAATTAAGGCATTGTCAGAAAAGTGGAAAAGGGTCATAGCTAGCGATGGGCAAAACTTTCGGTGAAATAACATTCAACCAATTTTATACAGTAAAGTTTCGAAAGCGCGAAAAAATCCTTTAAAACTTACTTATAGATCCAATACTATGCGCACTTTTAGTGCAGGCACTGATAAGGCAATGGCCTTATTTAATTTGTTATATCGAAAATGAATAGTTTTAATGGCATGCATTCCCACAGTTAGCATACTACTTTTTTACGTTGTTTACTTGTAACACAGGTAATGCTTGTTTGGTTTTATTTTTATATCATAATTTTTGCTATATGTAGTTCAGTTTTCAGGCCCGGTTTCACAGTGCTTAGTTAAACCATTGTTAAGTTAACCACTAACAAGAGTTTAATTATGAATTTATACTCAGAGTCACATAGTAAATTGTGGAAAATCATATCGCCGGAAAATATACAAATTCTAAAAATCAATATTTTTCAAAACAAATTTCAAATTCGTTCCACGAAAAAAATTTTATTTCACAAAGTTTCACTATGGGGGCACATAGTGGTGTTTTGGCGGGAAAAATAAGATTTTTTGATTATTAAATTTTTATATTTGAATTGGGAAATTGCCAGTTTTATACAAAATAAAAGCAACAAAAGTCACATTATTGTTATTCAACTAAAACTGATTCAGATTTTTGTTCACTTAAGCAATGTGTTTTTCTTACAACTTTTGTTTTTATTGTTTTTGTTGTAGGTTCATATGAAAATATAGCGCTTAGTAGACAAATAGAGAAAATCAGGGCAATCGACCAAATATTTTTATAAATTTAAGCAAAAAAATAATTTATAAATGCTAACTTTGAAACTTTTGATGGACAAAAACTGTTTCCTTAATCTTCCTTCGCCTTCCTACCATAGAGAAAATGAAAGACCGGAATATATACTATCACTTTCTGAAAACAATATTTTGCGCATATTTGCGACTTTTAACGTAACCTTATATAGTAATGATGGCATTCATAATATTTTTTAAGGCGTTTTTGGGAGGTATGTGTTAAAATAAACCGCATTACTCTCATTTTTTGGATGTTTGTTTATAATATTTTTTACCAAGGAATGGATTTTTATGACCTAAAAACCTATAAAAAAGGCAAAATAAAATAACGAAATTGACAGAAAAAGGCAGTAGAAATCGCAAAAAAGACAATACGACAAATAATGAAAAAAATACTTTCAAATTTTTCATTGGTCCGCTTTTTACGGCCTTTTTAAGGTATTTTTGACGTTAGGATTGCTTGGGTGGTATGCTTTGAAATAAACCGATTACGACCAATTTTTGAGGGTTCACACACAACGTTATTAAAAATAAATGGACAATATTTTGGGGTCATATATTCATTGATGTGTTTTTTAGGCTATTTTAAGGCATTTTGAGGTTAGGTTTGTATGGGAGGTATGCTTTAAAATAAATCGTTACGTTCATTTTTTTGGAATTCATAAACCACGTTATTACAAACGTATGGACAAAATATCGGACTCATATATGCATCGGTGCACTTTTTATTGCATTTTTAAGACGTTTTTGAGGTTAGGTTTATATGAGAATTAATTAATTAATAGATTAAATTAATTTGATTACGCCATTTTTATTTTATTTTTTTGATTTATGTCCATAAATATTAAACACGGAAAATTGAGCTTCTACGTCGATTCATTATAATTTTATACAAACAAATTTATGGGGCTCTACCACTGTGGGGCATGCTGGCTTAAAATTTTTTTAACTGAGCATTGTGAATATCAAACTCAATAGTTAAGCTCTTGTCAGTGGATAACTACTAACTGTGAATTTGGCAATATATATGCATCTATGAATGTTATGGACATATCAATCTACATGCATAAATACAAATGTATGTATATCTAATCATTATAAATGCTTCTTATTAAATATAAATTAAAATAAAAGCAATTAACTAAAAAGCTACACATCCATATTCACATAAACCACGTTTGTAAGTTTATTTTCTCACCATGCCATCACACTTCTCTGCTATTCCACAGGTGCCTGCATAATTAGTCGATTCGCGTCATGGCTGTCGACGATTTGGGTATCACTGCAAGCGGTCTTGGCGGTGGCCTACATTGGCATGTTCATCTTCAACACCCTGCCATTTCGGGAGTGTGTGGGCAATGTGAAGTTGGCGCTGGTAAGTTGTTGTTTGTTGCAGTGTTTTTTTTTTTGTTATTATGTATTGGCATGTTGCTGGCATGCTGTTGTTGTTGTTGCTGCTGCTGCTGCCGTGACTAATTGTGCGAATAGTAAAACGTTTTGTGGCTGCAGCAATAATTGATTTACTACGAGTAAATCGCTTAGATATTTATTTATTGGATTTTTATTACGGTTATATGTACTCGTTTGTGGTTAATGATTTTTTGTTTCCATTTTCTTTTTTTATTTCTGTGTTTTTTTCTTCTATAAAATCAATTAGAATGGCTACACAGTGATCGGCAACAGCGGTCAAGAATGTTTGCAGCGCACCTTTTTAACACCATTCTGGGAGAATCCAATGTACTTTGGCATGCTGGCTGTTGGATTGATCGGCCTTTGGATTGTGGTGATGTTGTGGTTAGTATTGCAAACTATTTATAATACAAAATGCAGATGTTATTGATTAATAGTTTAACTGTATCACTTGTGCTATACATTTTGGATTGAAGGTCAGCTATAAAAGTTTGTAGATAGGGTCATTTACACTTCCTATTAACTACGAAGGCTTTGTCGAAGGTTAAAGAAAGCATTCTTAATAAGATCTCATTTGATTGGAAGAAACCACGCTTATTTGTTTCAAATATTCTCTTAATAAAATAACTTATTAAAATAAGTGTAAATAATCGTGCTGAGATCAGCACTTAGAGTAAAAAGTATTGAGTAAATACTAGGCTTGGGAAGCTTTTGAACTGACGAGCGAAAGAGCCAGCTCATTTAATTGAACTAGTTCATTAGTTCGTTCATTGAAGTGAACTAAACTTTTCTGTGCCAACACTCCAATAAAAATGGATCTCGTTTTTCGTTGTAAGGGCATAGAGAAATAGAAGAATTCCGATCAGTTGGGAATTCACGCTAAAAAGACATTTGATTTCAATGAATTTCCAATGTTTTACATCGTTTAGTGCAATTTGTGTAAAAAAGTTAATATTTGAGTTGAGTTTTTGGGATTTGTTGTCTAACAAAAGACTTTCGCGATGCAAAGCGAAGCGCAATTTGATCAAGAAGACAAGAAAATGAAATGCAGGCACTGCAGAGCTTCCGTAAGCCATGTCGATGGCTCTCATAGACATTTTAATCGATTCTGTTCATATTTAGAAGGTATATTAACAACATGAAAAGGAATAACTCCACTAAAAATTTTGCCGATAGGTGGTGCACGATGCGATATATTTAGCAAACCAGTATTTATGGTCCCATTTCGTTCATATTTAGAAAGATTGCTTTAAAAATATTTGTTTTTACTATTCACTTATTTACTTTACAGATTTCTTCAATCTTTTATATGTATGTATTATAAAGCATACATCTTTTGTTGTTGTGTAACTCAGCTCCTACAAGCAACCTAGTTCAATTGGGTGAACTATACTTCAATAAGATGAACGAACTAAGATTCAGCAGAACTAGTTCATTGAGCTGAACGAACTAGAAGTGAACTAAAAAATCCAACTCTAGTAAATGCCATCCATTGTAGTACCTTCGTGCCCGATGACATTCAAGTTTTCAAACTTTGGGCTCTATGCTCATCAGTGCCTGCCCTCCCACCAGCTTAAAAACCAACCTTTCGAAACCACACATTATAATATCGCCTCAGCGAAGGTAATGGTGGGTACTATACTGGGGACTTGTGCAAAGCTCTTTCAAGCTTTGTATACAGGCCGGTGTCCACCACCGTTCTAGATCCATTATGGCCACTTCATAGGCACGTGTGTCAAAGCTTTCGCAGGCCAACACTGTTCTAGATCTTTGCCTCACCCCACTCACTCCCATGCTTCTGTCAGCACACGGCGATTTGATTGTCAAGTGTGAACAGCAGATTTCACATGGAAAAAATATAGCACATATATCACAAATAATCGTTTATCATGCCTCTGTACTGCTCATATTGGACAAAATGGCGTTTCTAGCAGCATTTCCTAGGAAAAATTAACCAATGATGCCATCGCTCCAAACTGTCACTCTCTAAGAATGCATTGGCTCCTCGACGAATACGTACGGGTTTTCCAATCCCCAGTGTTGGTTGTTAATATAGCCACCGAGATGAAAATAAGCTTGGTCAGAAAATATGACTTTTTGAGCAAAATCGTTGTCGATTTCGTTGGCATTATTTCTCGACATTTTTCGAGACACTCTATCAAGATTTGCAGCGGAAGAAAGCTGCGAAAGTTAAAATAACATACGATTACAAAAAAAAATCTGCAGTAATCTCGCAGGCTATAGGCCTCTCTCAAAGTCAATTCCTGAGAAAATATGCCAGATTCTATTTCAATGTTCATATCGGAGCCATCTGTAAAATAAAGTTATCATACATTTCTGCCGATTTTCTCTAAAATTGAAGTACTGTCCCTGTTAGTTGTTTAACGACTGTAAGAAGCCCTGGCCTCAGAGCGCTTTTAGCTGCAGCCCTTTTCGCCTGTGTCTCTATCGCCGCTTTAGGCGTCCAGCGAAATTCCGCCGTTATGCTTGTTGTTGTGCCATTGCAGATACATTAGATAGGATTCGATGTCAACTGCCTAACATCATCCCAAAATACTACGGGTGAGAAGAGGTCTTAGTATCGTGGTGTATATCCATTACATTATTTGCGATCGAAGCTCCCAGTCTTTTCCAATTGTGCTCCGGAAGGAGTAGAGCGAATTGAACCATTTTCCCCCCGATCTTCAGTATTTCTTTCTCAGACAAGTTAAGAGTCGATAATAACCTCCACCGCCGTGGTCGAGAGGTGCGTATTGTCACTCGGTAGGTCCAGGGTTCGATCCCCGGTGCGAGTAACATCCAAACAAAAACGTTTTTTCTAATAGCGGTTGCTCTCGGCAGGCTTCTCATTTAAACCATTTGCCGTTCGGAGACGGCCTAAAAGTGTAGGTCCCTCCCCTTTGTGTGACAAAACCAAGCGCACGCCACAAATCGCAGGAGAACCTCGACCAAGCACTACATAGCAAATATTTATTTTTGAATTACCTTTAAAAAATCGCTTCTTTCGACAATTTAAGATTTGTGGCATTGAGCAATGGAGTTCAAAAAGCGTCTGTATATCTTATATTGTTTCGTGAACAGAACTAGTTTACTTTTGGATGAATTAGTGCCCAGACCGTTTGTTTTTGCCCACCTTACCAGATCGTTAAATGCTTTCTGCGTACGAAACTTTGTACTTTAATGACTTTCGAAGTGTTGTTAGGAAGCAATAATTCGTTTTGAGGAGATAGTAATAACTACACCCTGAGTGCCTGAGGGTTACCTCGTGTAGCCGTTTTCTTTACTTTAGGTTATATCGTCTGAAAAATCCGATCCCTTTTCAGTACTCATTAGTGTAGAAGGGTTCTTCGGTAGTTGTAGTGATTTTTTACTTCGCTATTTAAAATCTTTTTTTTTCCAAATTTGCCCTTCAAATGTAATTCTCATGAATTTTATTTCCCTTTGATAGTATACAATTCGCCCTAAAGCACACGGTGATGAAAAAAATATAATAATTAGGTAAACATGTAAATTTATGTCTATAATTTGGTTCTCGGTTACATGTCAAAATATTAAAAAAAATAAAATATATATATTTATTTATTTTAAGCTCTAAAGCTTTCGCACCTTTCCGCATTGGATTACACGAAACAGCACGTTCACTTATGAAAATGGGGCATTCCATACCAAAATGACGGGACTCACACTTCATGTGTTTGATTTGTTTCAAATTTTTAAGATTGATAGATAAAAATACGTAGTAAAAAAATATGAAATTTGAGCTTGATAAATACATTTTTAAAAACTTTACAACACAAAAACAAATCGATTCAATAGTTTTCCAAATATCTCGAGAACGGGCGAGGAAAAAATTAAAAAAAAATCACACATACAAACATCAAAATTCTCTATGAAAAGAAATATTTTTTATGTTTTTTTCTTGAAAAAATTCGTTTTTGAAAATATGCCATATCAAAAAAAAAAAAAAACAATGGTAGCTCTGAGTATTGCGCAATATTTCATGTAGTACCATGGGGTGCACTCTACAATAATTTGAGTTATGAATTTTTTTTGTAACGAAGTTGAGTAAAATGAGTACATTACAAATTAAATTTTTTTTTTTGAGTATGCAGTTTTGTAGCCCATTAAATTTAACTACAATAAAGTGCAAGTTTTAAGCTATTACAAAATTTCGTTGATTTTTAATATTTTTTATGCTAACGGCTTTTTGCACTTTTTTTCTATGGTAGAAAATGCGTAAAACCGTTTTCAAAGAAAATTAAAAAAAAATGAACGCCAGTTTTGCAATCGCTTAAAACTTGTACTTTATTGTACTAAAATTTAATGGGCTACGAAATTGCATACTCAAAACAATTCAAAAAAGAAATATTAAAAAATTTGTAAATTCGTAATGTACTCATTTTACTCAACTTCGGTGTAAAAAAATTCATATTTAATTCTCATACGCATTCATAAATTCGCAATACTCAGATCTACCATTGTGATTTTAAAAAATTTTTTTTTTTTGAGATGGCATATTTTCAAAAACAATTTTGACTTGTGTATGAGTGTTTCCTGCAAACCAAAGTTCCCGAAATCTTAAGGAAATCGTTAGGAGTATCTGATTTCTTTAACGATTTTTTTACGAATTTTCAAAGAAAATTATATGAAGGGGTTGACACGAACTCGTAAAGAAATTTCTGTACGAAAAATAAAGAAAATTCTGGAAAAATTCTGAAAGATATTCTTCACATAGCAGCATTATTTTCGTTGCTTCACAGATTTTCTTCCGAAATTTCGTAAAAGAATGGAAGTGTGCGTAATTTATTTCATTTTAGAAAATTCGGCAACAAATCGAATTAAATCTTAACGATTTCTTTAAAATTTCTTTACAATGCAGAATACTCTGGAAAAATGGTTTGCAGGGTTTTTTTTTTCAAATGAGAATGTGTGTGTGAGTTTGTATGTAAAATTTTAAAATTAAATTGCTTGCAAACGTCAAGAATTTGAAAAATTCCTCTCAGCGGTTTTACCTTCCTATTTTTTTATCATGGTGTGAGCCCCGTCCATTTTGGTATGGAACGCGCCATACATATCGCACACCGTCTTCAAAAGAGTGACAACTGAAAATTTGGCATTTTTGAAATTATGCGCTAAAAATGTACACAGTACTTTTATTTACCTTTCAGCAAAAGCTGGAGCAAATATTTGTTTTAATTTGTTAAAAACAAAACCTAAGGTAAAGTCGCCCTTGCCCATATGATTAGCATGTGCTACGAAATAGTTTTTCGAATTTTCTGACGAACGCATTATTTTGAGTTGTGACTCTTTTGAAGACGGTGTGCGATATGTATGTATATGTTTGTTTGTAAATATCATTTACATATTTTGGTAAATGAATATCCGCATAATTATTATTAATTCGGTGTTCCCAGCTAATAATTTTATTATATTCTTCAATTCCGCAACTATTATTTTCATTTCAAACTCTTCTATAGATTCATTTTTTTTTAGCACGCATACGTACATAGGATTTGTCGCTATGTCATTTTTTTTTTAACTTTAGTTATTGTATTATGTATTTGACTGATTATTTTTTATTTTGCTAGTCAAATGAAATACGAAACTATGCTTTTACCTAAGCACACACAAGCAAGCAAATATATATTTACATACAGAAATGTTGTATTATTAATAGCATTTTAATTACAAACTTGTTTGGAATTCTTGTTTGACATAAATTTATGTCTTAAACTGACATCATGAGCCATAATTCGTTGACAAGTAACAAAAAATGAAATTATTTATTGAAAACATAGAACAAAATTTCTTGTGCGCCATATGTATGCGCTAAGTGTGTATGTACATGTGTTTGTATGTACAACAATAGGGTGGAATATTTTTTCGATTTCGAAATTCCAATAGCGCAGAAAATTTGCCAAACATGATCACATTGAACCATGATAAATCGCAAGCAAGGCCGTATTTAGGGGGCCGAAATGGTCAACATTTTGTTTAGATAGCTTCGCGAAAAAGAACATTTAATCTTGTATTGCTAGAAACCTGAGAACCCAACTTAATTTTTAAGAAAGTGAAGATGCCTTACCTATTCATAGCTGCGTACTCTTTAAGGTATAGTCGAACTTTGCACAATGTCTGTCCAAGCGCTTTATTATTCATAATCGCAAATGCAATTGTCACTGGAAATGTGCGCCGTTCCACGGATAAAGGCATCTAATTTCCTACTTTTAAACTAAAACTTTCTTAACACTTTCAGCACAAAAATCAAGCGGTGAATCTAAAAAATTTTAAATTTGCTAATTTTGGCCGTTCATTTCAAAAATGAAATCAAAAATTTTACAAAATTCGTAGTTTTACCGTTATTCAGCGTCCGTTACACTGGACAATGTTACTAAAAACTCCTAAAAGTCGTGGAACCTGTAACGCTGGACACGTATCTTATTTTTCCTTCTAAGTATTTATCGCAGTGAAATTTAAGCTATATGTATGTACTATTTAAAAAAAAATTTTTAAGCAAAAAAAACCGACTTCCAATCTCATATACAAATTTAGGAGTACCGTTAATTTTTTCATGATCCAATGAGATCGAAACCAGATTGGTATGGGACCACCTCTGAGACACTACCTCTCCGATGCAAAAAGAGTCAAAAAAATCGAAGAAAAAAATCCGTTGATGTGGTCCAAAGATATGCGGTAATATACATAAAAAAAATATCTATATATTCCGACGAATTGATAACCTCCTCCTTTTTTTGAAGTCGGTTAATAATTAGGTACTTACATAAATTTGGGACTTTTCTTTTTACTTTGGACGGTTTTTTTTAGTGAAGTATTATTTGTAGGGCCGTAATTTTTATTTAAAAATGCGTACACGACCATTAAGCAATGATTTTATTACATTTTATTTTTCGGTGCACTACGTCAACGAAAAAAATTTAAAAAAAAATTTGCAAAAATTAACAAGATTCCTTAAAAACTTGAAAATAGCTTTTTATTATACTAAAAAGTATAAATAAACAACAATTTGGGAGATTTTTTGGAACTCTAAAGCTCGAAATTAAAAAATGTATTTTTTCGCTACACCCTAATGTATACTAAGAAACCTAAAAAGTGTTTGCTGTTGGATAGCGATAATCCTTGCCGACGTGAAGTTAAAGTTTTGGCTACGAATTTTTAACGAAGTTGCGATAACACTGCTAATCTCACATACAAAAATATGACTTGTGTATTTTTATACGAGTATTATCAAAAATATGAAAAAAAACTTGGATTACAATTTCGAAGAAGATATCTCGATCAATATGCCAATCATGGTTTCGATAAACATTTGAAAAATTATTAATATGAATTTCGGTATCGAAATGTGGTGGGTAATATCGATAAATATATTGTTAATAGTGTCAGCAAGTGTCAGTAATCGATGCTGCATCCACTGGAACCATCCAGCTGCGCCACTAGATGCCCTGCCCAATAATATCTATAACATCAATGGTAAAAAAGAATTCGACTGCGATTTCCATAACGACTATGGTAAACACACGCATAGTATAAATTTATAAATGTAACATAAATATCGAAAATTATGTGTGCACGTATATCGATAAATGTATGTGGATATCTACAGATGAATATGGAAAAAACAATTTACATAATCAAGTACATCAAGGATAAGTACAGGTCGAATTGTAGTTTAGATACCGATTTCGATCGGTAAATCGATAATGATGATGTTGTTTAAACTATGAAGAATGAGTTCGATAAGTAAATCGATAATTATTTATGCATTTATATCGATGAATAACGATAAAAATACCATACGAATGAACGATAAATATTGGTTTGATGACGATTTCGATAAAAATTTCAATAGACATGTAGGTTATACTATAATTTCGAAAAAATATCGCTAAGATTTACAGAAATGGCACATTATCACAGCACTAATGAATTTAAAATAAATAAAATATTTCATATTTGTAATTATATGAAGTAGTGCATATTTACATATATTTGCATGCACTCATACATAAATATTTAAAAAAAAAGCATACGTTTTTGAAGTTTATTCCTTTCTTTACGCTAATAATTATTTTTCTCTTTTTCCTTCTCAGCACCCACAATGGCCGCATTTTGCGCCGCAGTCTCTTCATCTTCGGCATACTGGGCTTTCTGCTGCTATGCTGCCTCACCGGCTGGGAAGTGCACAACTCATTCCAGCGGTCCTATTTTCCTGAGCTATGGCCATTTGACTCGTCCCTCTTGGTGGACTCCAACATTTGGTTCAACGCGCTAATGCAGGTACTCTTCGCCACGAATTGCGGTTTCGGCGCTCTACCAGCTGTCACCGGAAAATTCCTCTACAAAGGTGATGCCGTACGCACTTCGATCGTTTATCTTTGCTTCAATTTGCTCATCAATGCAATAGCCGTCACACTCTTTATGGTACAGTTTGATCTCTCTGCCAATAGTGGCTCTATGATTGAGGAACTCAAACCACAAACCGCTGTCTACGATCGCATCTTGTACGATCGGCCAAGCAATGAGCTCATTGCACGCATCATACCCGTACTAATCTTTGCTTTGATCGTGATTTCCGCCATCATCGCTATCACAGTCGCCATCTACACAGTCACACGGTTGGTGCCACGCCATCCCAACTACGTCATCAGCTTGGTGGCGCTTGTCATGACCATCATGTCGTTGGCAGCGCCGAAATTTATCATAGCGCGCATTTTGGATACGCGTATCGTCGGCACAATCTTAATTACAGCGCTTGTCTTCGAATTGATTGCTGTCTGTTGGATTTATGGCGCCAAAAATATCTACACCGATTTAGAATTCTCAATTGGGCGACCGATATTCAAGGTTTGGATGTGGCTTTGGTGCATTTGCCCAGCTATACTCACCGCCTTGTTGGTGTGGTGGTGTTCCGACGACGATCAGTACGACCTCTTGGCCGAGTATGTGCCACGTTGGGCGCCCATTTTACTCGCACTAGCCGTCATTTTCCTCATTGCTTGCGTGCAAATATTCCGACAAGTGGAGTATAATTTCTTTGGCATGATCTGCGAGGCATCGAAGGCGGCAAAGGAGTGGGGACCCACTGATCCGCTGGCGCGTCATGCCTGGAAGCAATGGCGTTCGGTGTGCCAAGATACTGGACGCCGTGATTTCACGCTACGCCGCCGTGGCACACGCGACTACACGCACTCCATCAAGAAGGGTCAGTACTCGAACGGCTCAAACTCAAAATATGCCAACGGACATGTCACACAGCAGAATTGGAAGCAGTCAACAACTGGCAACAGTTCGCCCAACTACAGTGGCTCCATGTTTGGCGATTCAGCGATCGAAGAGGATATTAGCGTGGATAAGTTTCCAGGCGTGGCACAACAGTTCGTGCCCTTCCAGAACAGCGATGGAAAGCCGTTACGCTATTCAAATCGCTCGCGTGCACAACCGCAACAACGCACTAGCGCACAACAACAACAGCATCAGCATAGAGAGCAGCAAAGACAGCAACACCACCAGCAGCAGCAGCCGCAGCAGCAGCTGCATGAGCATGAAGAGTTGCCTTTGCCTTCACCGCCACCACCGCCGCCACCAAGTCATGTGCACGCCATGCGTCCACCATCCATGCATGTGGAGAAGCATCGCGAGATTGTCTACATACGCCGACTATCGGAGGATGGCCGCCATGCGACACGCATCGAGATAACACCGTCCAATGAGTCCATTACGTATGGCAGCACAAATGCAATCACAGCCAATGGGGGCATGCGCAACCCGATGGGTCGGCTGAGTGGAAATGGTACAGCGCATGTTAAGCGCTCCTCCAGCACCAGCATGGCCGAACAGAATCGACATTCGGTCGTGAGCGTAGGAGGTGGTGGAGTGCATGGCGGACATGGTGGGGGTGGAGGTGGAGGTGGAGGATTAGGTGGAAAATTACCACCACCAAATGCGAATGGCAGCGCGGATCACATCTGCTGGCGGAAGTTCACCGTGAATCCGCAGGAGTACTCCACGGAGCTGTGAGGCGCAAGGCACTGCGTTAATAAATAAGTAAATAAGAAAGACATACATACATACATATATGAATATACAACAAAAGACTTTTCCGTACCCAAGACAAATTCGTTATAAAATAATTTGTAGTTACTGTAGTAGCGTAGTGTTAACGAGACATTTAAATATTTAGTACTTGTAGTTGTAGTAGTGAAAAACAAAACAAAAAAACACTTAGACAATTCCAAATTGTGTTAAATACAATATTTGTCGTATAGTTCTTTATTTTAATTTGTTTTTTTTTTTTTTGAGTAAGAACAATTAAAATATACCACCACTTAAATATATGTTGAGAAAAATATGAAAAAATTGTAAATAGTAATTAAACTAAAATTAATGAATTGATATTTTGTATAAGCTTTAACGAAGGAAGTGCAGATTAATAAAACGACTAACACGAATACATAAATATTTAAAGTAAAGATAAGAAATATTTTTTGAAGAATTCTGTAACGAATATTTATGTTTGGCGCGAGCGCCCACAAATAAAAGATATGTAAATCTAACTAGATGCATATGTATGCATAAGAAGTAAAAAATCGCTTATCCTGAAGGGCTGTCTGTAGTGCCTAAGAAAATTCAAAAGAAATATTTTTCATTATTTCTGTTGCTTAAATCGGGCACCAAGTTTTGTTCCCCAGAACGCTTCAAAACCAAAACCGAAATGTGAACAAAACTGTCGAGAACGCACTCAATGGGAATTACATAAGAACAAAACGCTGTGGAACGTGCCCAAAGAGAACAAAATGGGAAACAAGTCTTCGGAACGTTTTGTAAAAGAACAAACAAAAGTCTAAGGAACCTTCTGTCGAAGAACAAAATGGGAACCAAAGTCTCGAAGAACTTTCTGACAGATCACGAAACGGGCACACATCTTCTCTGAACTATTCTTGAGAACGTTACCGAGAGTTGTGTTCACATTTTGTTCTTGTTAGAAACGTTCCCGAACCATTTGTTCTCATTTTGTTCCCGTTAAAACATCTCTCAATACTTTTGTTCCCGTTTTGCGCTTTTGTGGGAACGTTATTGACATTGAATAAGTACTTTGCTGTTGCTGTAAATTTTTCTTGAAGAATAATTACTGATTTAAGAAATTTTGATAGCAGAAAATTTATTTTCCATTTATTTTCAGTTTTTCTTGAGAGCTGCAGACAGTCCTTAAGACGAGAAATAAATAACTGACTGTAAAAATGAAGTAATAGAAATAAAGTTATTAACAAAAATTAATATGGTTAGGTTTGAGTGAATGTAAAGCTATAAATACAATTTTGATCATTGATTATAATAAAAAAAATTTACGCTGCAGTGCTCACAAAAGTATGCAACAAAAATTAAAAAAAAGTAATTTATGAATGATAACTTTTTTAAAGCAATAAAATGAGTATAAAAATAACAGATGAAAAAGTTAATGAAAAGAAAAACAGTTATTTATATAAGCTAGCGTAACTGAGTTTTACTGACATTTAAAAAAATCGTATAAACTCTCGAGCAAGCCACAAATGTATTGAATTGAATTTAAGTATATATATATGTTTTTGTAACGCTTTGCCAAGAATCGAATCTTTCTTGGCTGACGTAAATAGTTAAAGAATGCAACGAAAAACATTACAATAAACAATGAAACTAAAATTTAAATAAAATGAAAGACATTGTGAAACAAATGTGTTGTAGATTGTTTAATTTATCGATTGCTTTTCAAAAGGAAACAACATTAATCAGAGCTGTTACAAAAAAAAAAAAAAAAAAAATGTCGAAATTGCAAATTGCCAAAATTCGAAACCGATATCGGTTTGAAATGGCCTTATGACACCGACTTCATTTTACTGTTTCCGAAGATAGGCACAACCGATATTCGTATCAGCTGTTTTGTTTAATTAACTAAACAATTTTAATATGAAATTCGGCAGATGAAAGCTAACAAAATTTTCTATAAACCGTGTATACATCACTTTCCGATAGGCCCGATAATAGTAATAATAATAATAAATTGTTATTGTTTGGCCGAGCTTCTCCTCCAATTTGTGGCGTGCGCCTTGATGGTGTCGCACAAAGGGGAGGGACCTACAGTTTTACGCCTACTTCGAACGGCAATAGTTTTTTTATGAGAAGCTGGTTTTCATGGCAGAGACCTGGTGGGTTCTGAGAAATTAATAATTCCAGATTTTTTGTTTTTTTGATGAAAAAATTAAAAATTCACACTTTAGCAGGGGAAAAATAAAAAATAACGATTTTCCTTTACAAAAAAATTAAGCTACCAATGAAGAAAATCAATTGATAAATAAGAAAAGAATGAGTGGTCGAATGGTCGCAAGGATTTTTCGTATGAAATATGGGTAGAAAAGAGTGCTACTTAGGTATACATGGCGTATGAGTAACATTCTATCGTCGTCATTTTTGATACAACAAATTTTTGCGCATTTTCATTTGACCACTCATTCCTTCTTTAATTATACATCGATTTTTTTAATTAATTGAGAGCTTGGTTTATTGTAAAAGAACAGGCTTTAGCACAAATAAAAAAAATATGACACAGAAACTGTTACTTTTTTAATTTTTTCCCCTCTAAAGGATTCATCAAAGTAACAAAAAATTTGTAATGATCGCATACGGTTTATAGAGAATTTTATTAGCTCTCGTTTTTACTATTTTTTTAGATGAATAACGGTAAATTGAAAATATCTCGAAATCATCGACCAAGTCTATATAGGAATTGGATAGTGGAATCCATAACAAATGTTTGCTGTAAACTAGTGAAGGCCTAGAGCAATTGATTTGCAGACGCTGGGTTAACCCTTTCAGGATTCTGGGAAACAGATTTTCCAACAGTTTCTAGTAGTTATATGTTTATTTTCTGTTTATTAATTGTGCCTCATATTCATTTGCCTAACACGAAATTTTAGAAAACGATTAAAAAAAAATTGGAAAGAGTATTCAAGGAATGTAAGAGAGTTCTTTAAGTGGAGTTTTTTATGAAAACAATGTTTAAGATTTTTTTTTTCAGAAAAAAAAAATACAAATTAGAAAAAACTGTTGTTAGGCAATAAATATATATTAAAACAAATTCAAAATTTTTGGGAAAATAAATACTTTTGCGGTACAAATTATTCCCTCGGTAAAAATTATTTTTGGTATCTTATAAGAATTAATAATAATATATGGGTCGAAACTTTTAGCGGGGAGCAGTCGTTTTTTATGAGTTCACATTTTGTTAAAACAAATTTTTTAAAGATTTTTTACAAAAAAAAATAAGATATGTAGAAAAAATATTTTTTTTTTTTTTGGAAAATAATAACCAAAATATAAAATTACTTAAAAAAATATTTTTGAGAAGAAATTTTTTCTTTGGAATTATTATTTCATTACATATATATATTTTTTTTTACCAAAGTTTTGATTTCCTCAGATAATTGAGAAATATAACTAAACGCATGATTTTTTTTTGCGGAAAAATCCCTACATTCTAATTTCTTGGCACATATGATAATCTCACCCACAAGCAAAAATTCATTGTCACATAGAATAAAATTTACAGTAAATTTTTGGGTTAGTTATTGGGATTTAAGCCGTAATATTTGAACAGCTGATGCCTTATGGGTTGTAAAACAAACTTGCATCAAAAAGTGAATTTCGTAAAAATGCAACATACGATAATTTTGCGCATATCGACCCCAATGTGAAAATAGTTTGGAATCGACCGAAACATTACCTGATAGTGAGGCCTTCTTTCCTTATCGTTACAAACTGGGGTAATAAGATACATTAATATGATGACGAAGAAATAGTTCATAAAAAAGTGATGGAATGGGAAAGCAATGGGAAATATATAAGAAATGCGTAATTTTATTGAGATTTCTTATAAGAAGCGAAAAAATCCAGTCATCAAAAATTCAGTTATCAAGCTATAGAAGCCATCGAAGTTTATAGTTATCGAATTTAATCGAGCTAACCATGTTTATCGCGTCATCGAAATGTCGAAATTTATAGAGACACAGATACTTAATTGTCGAAATTTAACGATAAATAAGTTAATGGAACATATCAAGTCATCGATTTTTATTCAGTTATAATTATTTATGGAGAAAACAAGATTTATCGAGTTATCGTAATGTGTCAACTTATCGATAATTATTGATTTACCGTATTTTTCCAGTTTATCGAATCTAAGTTTTTGGAATTTTTGAAGGGTATATCAGGTTTGCACTATTTATCGGTTTATCGAATTCAATCGAGGTACCAGAGTAACGAGTTAACGAATTCTGTCGATGAATACCGAAATTTATGGAGCTATCAAAATTAATCGAGTTATCGAAATATACAGAGTTATCCAAAGTTTATCGAGCTATCGATTTATATCGAGATATGTATGCAAATTTCTGAGTTATCGAGTTTCGTCGAGTACTCGAAATGCGAGATTTGATTGAATTTCCGGATTTTAATGTTTTTGAAATGTATCGCGGTATCGATATATACCAAATTATCGAAATTGATCGACAAACTGGAATGTTTCGAGTCCTGACAAAGTCCTTCCAAGATATAAAAATTGGTAGTAACGTTTTAGTTACAAAGCAGGAGGTTTTCGGGTAAGTAATTTTGTACCTTATACCTATTTATCAAACCACCAAACGAAAATTGTAGCACTAAGTTTAAAACCAAAAAAATTTGAAGAAAACACGTATATCCTTTTGAGTAGAAATTTTTGTTTGTTTCTTCAAAAAAGTTAGGTATTATTGCTATTTATAAAAAGTTTTTAATATTAAAGACATACTTATAGTAGTTTCAAAAATTTAAAAAACTGATTCCAGGAGCAAACTAGAAATCTTAAAAGTTGTAGTATTTAAGAGGTTTTAAAGAAAAAAAATATAATTTCTCCTAAGAAACGAAAAAATACCAAACGAAATTTGTATGGCCAATATACATATGGACACCTATAAACCCTGTAAATTTGAGGAAAAACGGAAACTATTAACAAGGTTTTAAAAAAAAATTTCCCAAATTATTATAATTTTTTTTTTTTAAATTCGATAAAAATGCAAAAGTAATGCTATGAAAACTTAAAAAAATACGAGTTCATTTTTTTTTTTCAAACAGAAAAAAATTTCATTCTTAAGTTCGCGGTATACCATCGGACTGCCTGCGTGATTTGAAATGGATCCAGTCATAGACATATTTTACTAACATACTTGATCTCAACAAAGGTGGATTGAAGATAGTAACATTTGCAGATGATGTACTCGTGACGATAAGCGAAGGGGGAGCTTTACTTGGGCCACAAAAAGTGGCCTGGGTGTATACCCCAGCAAAACGGAACTGATTCTGTTTATCAAGAAAACAAAAGTGCCACACCTCAGGCTTCCCTCACTTAATGGAACATCTCTCATATTGTCCTTCGAGGCGAAATACTTTGATGTCGACACCAAACTGAGCTGGAAGACAAATATAGAAGGACGCGTAGACAGAACCTACTCAGCTTATAACACAAGCAAACGAATATTTAGTAGTAACTGGGGACTAAAGCCAAATTTTGTCCTCTGGATGAACACGGCTATCACACGAAAAATACTAGATAACTTACGGGGCGTTAGTTTGGTGGCCAGCATTAGATAAACAATACAAGTTCAGAAAACTAGGCGGTATACAAAGAGCAGCTCGTGCGGGTGCTACTGGAGCAATTAAGTCGTGTGCATCTCATGCACTTAATGTAATCCTGCATTAATTGCCAATAGAACTCAACAACCGCGAACCTGCTTCGTTCTCGGCAATCAGACTTAAAAAGTCAGGCTGCTGGCAAGGTTAGAGTGGTATTCTTGACAAGCTTCTAGAAACAGGTAAACAATCAGACTATACACCTCCTATTTACGACAGACTTCAGGAAAATTTTTCAGGTGAAGTTTCTTTCTAGACGCGATTGGATTAGGTGCAGGACTGTCGAGGAGAATACCACTGAAATCTATATTGACGGGTCTAAAATGGACTGCGGTGTAGGGACGGGGGTGTTCTCTGAAGCGTTGAATGTCCCTCTCTTGTTCCAACTACCGAACTTGCTAGCATCTTCCAAGCGGAAGTATTGGGAATGGAAAGGGCATGTAAAGCATTCGAGAGGAAATGCATAGGATTACGAAAAGCATAAATTTCAGGGACTGCAGAGATTGTGTTAATAGACATTTCCCTCATATGGGTTCCTGGCCATAATAACATTCATGGAAATAAGAGGGCTGACGAGTTAGCTAAGGCCGGATAACCTCCTGATGAATCCGAAGCAGAGACAACAAACTGTCATAGGTAACTGCATTTGCAATTCGCACTTATGACCGATGCACTTTGGCAGGGACTTTGGCCCATTGCCATTGGCGAACATGCAACTGAAATGGCTCTTACGTCCCACCCTCGGTACCGTAGCTGAGAAAAGTAAGGCAACTTGACAAAAGTAAGGCAACGATCCTACAATTGCTTTGCGAGTGCCCAGTGGTCATTGTACATTTTCAGGGCTGGAGCGTTTCTAGACATTCATATGATCTGGACGAGATAGCGGATCCGCTGTACTTTAATCCGCTGCACTATGTCTATATCGGTGTAAAGCTCATACAGCTCATCGTTCCATCGTCAGATTCACCATCAGACCCACGCATTTTGCTTCTCTATCTAAATTCGAGAAGGCAGAATA